TGTCAAATCTAAACAATTCTATGATACCAAGTGCTACCTTGTAATGGTCTGAAATCAAATGTGCGTACTTTAAAAGTCTTTTGAGGTTTCCCCAGCCACCAGAGGCAAAGCTTTTTGGGTTTAAATTCTGATTTTTTTTCAATCAATTACTTCAAATTCTTTGAGAAGTTTCTCTGGTTATACCCTACAAACTCTATAAAAATAAAAGTACATTTGTCTGGAATAATGTCAACAAAATAAATAAGAATTATTAGCCCTCTAGATGGTGCTACTATTTCAAATAAAGCAGCCAGATGCTTGAAGATTTTGTGGAAATCTATTGCTGTCATACCCTATGAGAAAGGAGCACCATGAGAAATCCTGACGTCAAACAAACCAGAATTTCATATAACAGTGTTTAAATATACTAATTACTTCTTTTTAAGAAGTCAGTGTTTCAGTATCTTACTAAACATAGAAAAATTATAGGATGTATTGATGAAAATTTTCTTTCAAAGCCCAGCTCAATTTTCTGTCTCTGATTTCCAGTTTTCCTAAAACTGCCACTGACCCCTGCAGCGTACCACTTCTCAGCCTGAGTGACTCCTATGAATGGTCTCCGGCCACAGCCTTCGGATGTGTCAGAGGCCGAGCGTGATGGGCTCTCCCTGGCAAAGGCTGCGCACTCTGGCCCGATTTCAGAGGTGCTTTAGCACAACTGCACTTCAGCTGCGACCACAGAAACCGTGCACATGCTCAAACCCAAACCCATGTTTAAAAATCTTGTTGGCTTAAGGATATCTGCACATGCATGCTGTATTGCACATTAAAGGCTGTTAAGTCTAAGTGCTTTAGTGGTACACAACAAGGAAAGAAGGCAAAATAATTTACCTTTTCTTGCCCAACACAGCTCACAGGTCCAGCACTGAAATATTTGGCCAGCTGTCTATATGACAAATTTTCTTACCCTGAGTTCCTTTCTGTCCAGCTAATTCTCATGAGGATGCCAAAGTTCCTCCTATTCTTTGCTCTCTTTCCAGGGCTCCTATCTGTAGTTTCAGAACATCTGTCTATATTTTCTCTCAGATATTTCTCCTGATTCTCTCTGTAAATCCAGCCAGAAGAATTTGCAGCACCAGATCTCTTTCCTCCTGTTGTTGCTGTCAACATCAAGAACAAAAATTTTCTGATTTCAAGATTGTTATTATTATACATTATTAAACATCTGACCTTTGAAACATATATTCTCTATAACCACTATCTCTTACTTTGTGCAAAGTTCATCTGTTATCTAAATAAATGTCAATTTTGGGACCTTGTTAAGCCTTCAGCCTCAAGTAACAGTAACTGTGAATTCCGGAGTTTACTCAGAAATACGTTTATCTCATGGATTTTGACTATTTGACCTTTAAAATTTTACAGAGTATATTTGTTCTTTTGTTATGAGAAAAGAATAACAACATCTCTAGATCGTTCATTGGTTTGTATTCTTTCACTGTGTCCCCATTTATCTCCTTTCTAAGGAACTTCCTTCACAAGAACATATCTCTGTGTCCTTGATGATTTTTACTGCTCTTTTATGAGTCCTTCTCCAGCTTCATAATAGTTTGGTTAGTTTTTGAGGCTGCTGAGCCATAAAATCAGGGCTTGTAGCTCTTCCCAAAAATACTTTTTAAAAGAAAGAGAACCTAAAAGCAGACAGAAGGTCTATTGGTCTATGAAAGCCACTGTGTTCAGGATGTCAACTTTTCTATAGATGCTCCTGTTATTTTCATGCTGTCAGCAGAATATCCACTGTCACTAGCCACTTGCACAAACCTGCGAACCTCAGGGAAGCTCCTGGTAGCTAACAAGGCAAATGTCAGCTCAGATCTCAGAAATGAGTGACAGCACTTTCAAAGAGTAAAAGAAATGAGTGTAGACTGGAAAAAAACCTGCACTAGGAAGAGCTTGCTACCTTACAGACGGCTCTGAAGTGTGGGCAGTTCTCAGTGTATCTATTTATATAACAAAACAAACAAAAAAAGAACTATGGGAATTGTTGTTAATGCTTCATGAGATGACCTAGATACAAACAGCTAGTCAAGTAACTATAAACCAAGGAGTAACTAGCCAGTTTCTTGCAAATTTATATTAAAAATAACCATGAAGACATAAGCTTAAACAACAAGTAGTTTATTTAGCATACTTAACGAATCCTTGCACACAGTAATTTCCTACATCCTTTGACATTTTTCCGTAAATCCCTGCTCTTATGAATGAAGTGCTCTAATTGCCTTGCTTGTGAGGATCAACACAGGCAACTAGAATTAACCTTCTTATAAATAAAATAAGATTAGACTGACTTTGGAAGTGACTCCTTCAACACCTCAGAATCTTCTGGTTCATAATAAGGTTCCAAAATAGGTTTTAATTTGACTTCTTCTGGTAGTTTTTGAGTCTCTTCTCTCCTGCTTCCATCTCTTAAAAGTGGAACCAATGTTTTCCAGTTTTTCCCTGAAACTAAAAAGGAATGACATGGTTAATTTTTTTCCCCTCCCCAGAAAGAGAAGAAAATGTACAAGTGGTTTAAATAGGAAGCTGATGAAAGAAGCAGGAAGAAAGGGCTTTGTGGTTTTCTTCCTCATACTGTTCCATGTGTTTTCCATATTTCAGTTGGCAAGCACAGCAGAGACTGATCATACAGTTAAATAGTTCTGTGCTAGATGCTGACCTCCCAAACTACAGGGTTTAGGGCCTCCAAAGTAGCTTCTTGGCTATCTGGCTGCCATCATACACTCTTCCATCTCCTCAGGACTTACACATATTATCTGCCTTGTAAAATCTACAACCAGAATGATGAATCTATGGGGCTTCTATGTCGGGGAGTAAAACTACTGTGTGAATAATGAGCTCACTTAATCCCTTACAGTTTGTGCTGACTGAAAATGCCATTAACTTAGCTGCTGCAATTATCATGAAGTCCATAAAACTGACTGCCCGCTAACAATTAATCGATGCTGCTTCTATCACCAGTGTGTAGCCCATACTAGGATTTAGGTCCCTAAACCCCTCACCTCTGCCAGGCTTAATAGAGTAACTGGGATTTCGTTTGAGATCCCCAGAGTACCCAGGGTCTTCGTTGATTATGCCCAGATTAGTATTCCACGTGGACCAGTTCACTTCATCAACCCTGAGGAGAGAACAACAAACCAATATCTATTTTAAGGATCAGCGGAGAACTCCAGGATGAGTTCATATCACATACTGCCACTTCCCAAGCTGCAGATCTGACCCAGAAAACAGATTAAACTGGCTGCCATAGACACTGTTAGTGCACTACTTTTCAGAGGAGTGCTCCCAGGGGGAAGTTCTGCTTCCCATTACCAGATACATTAATGCCGTTGGTCTAGAAAAGGTTGTTCATTTGACATACGAACAGGTTACCTAAAGCACCATCTGTAATCATCTTGGCCGTCAGGTGTGACCCCCACCAAGACTTGCTTCCCAGACCGGAACGAGCGCCTCGCACAGTTCAAGTAGCTGTTTTCAATATCCAGGATTGTGATGGCTCTCTACGAGCGAAAAGAAAGAAAGGCCACTGAGAGGTTGCTGTTTCAATGCCACGCGAACCCTGAATGTTGTCTTTATTTTAAAAACCTTGAGCTTTTATTACTGTCACCATCTTAGAGTAGGCCTTGTGCCCATCGCTGAAACATCGCCTCAGTTAACATATTTAAAATGCTAAATTGCTGCCCTGTGATTAGAATTATGGACTTCCCTTTCTTACCTCAAACAAAAGCTGATGTGCCTTTGAGATTCTGGTAAAGATTGTTTTTCCCCCTGCTTAATCCCTGTCTTCATACTCTGATGAGGATTTTCCATCATCAAAAGCCAAAATAATTCTGACTAATGACAAAATTACTTCTTTCCTTAAATTCTGAACATCTGTGGAACACTGGGAACATCTGCTCAGGCAAAACATCAAATACGCATGGAAAAGGAACTACTATACTTTTCTTTGGAACTGTTCAGGGGAAGCAGAAAGCAGCAGTGACCTGTTACCTAGAAACATGTCAGTTCCTAAAGATTCATTCTGAAATTTCTCACAATTCCCCACACCCTCTTTCTTGGATAGCAGCCTCCCAGAACCAATGTACCTGGAGTTTCCAGATGCTCTTGCTCTCCTGTGCAATTTTGCTCACAGTTTCTCCCATCAGTGCAATAAGCATGTTGAGCAGGAGGATGTATGTCAGGATGACATAGAGAACCAAGAGGATGACAAACACAGACTTGAACCGGTAGTTCTCCGTGAACTCCAGGTCCCCCATCCCAATAGTGAACTTGAAAAGCTCCAAGCAGGTATAATACAGACTATTGTAGGATGTCCGGCCTCGTTTCATATGGCAGCATCGGCCATATTCAGAGCTATTTGTGTCTTGTCCCTCATTGTCATCTTCAATTAAAGTCACCACAGCTGTTGCAGAAGAGAAATTACAGATGCAGGATAAAAATACAATTTGAGATCATAATTCCATGGCAAGCAACGAAAATGAGCAGAAAGGTAAGACACGTTATCTTCACTGTGCATTGTCCCCAGTGAAATTACTCTGCAAACTATGCCCCGTATCAGACACCCTCTCAGAAAGAGTTGTCCCAGGTTTATCTATACAGGATGCCTGGTTTTCCATTCAGCTCCGCAAAGCAGTTTGAGACCCCGGGATATAAAGCTGTATGAAATTACTATGCAAATTATTATTCTGAAAAGATTTTTTGTTTGTTTGTAATTAGGTTAATTTTTTTGTTTCCAAGTAAAAACTAAGAAAGTCCAAGCCTTTTGAAAAATCAAATTTTCTGAGATTCTTTAAGGTAACAAAAAGTAACTCCAAATACGGTATTACCTGTAGAAAATCCCAAGAGGAATACTAGATAGACAAACATGAAGCGACATAAATCTCTAAGGATCATCTGTAACATGGAAACAGAACATTTTTATATTGCTAAAACTTCAATGTAAACTGCAGCAAAAATCGGTAGAAAATACTGCTGGAGCCCAAGAAGGTATTTGCTGTGAACTGGCTGTTCATGCATTAAACTGTTGTTTATCCTGCTGAGGTAACAAACTTTAGCAAAGAGAACGTTTTTCTCTGCTACTCATACAACAGCCTACATACGTGTGCAAGACATGTGCACGCCAAATGGTTTCATCTTCGTGAGTATAAACCACGTAAAGACAGTTGCATCTTTCTTCTCCTCTTGGGCTAGCAGGCTAGATCAGAGAGGCTTATTAGCCTGCTTCAGCCTCTCTGCTAATTGCTCTGTTTGGTTATATTTAATCTACTCCTGAAGAAATTTCCATCTGGTAGAAAGCTGTGCCATTTCACACCAGAGCAGTCTGCACTGCTCTCAGTCTACTGTCATCCCTGCTTATCCAACTGTTGTTATTTTGAAGCATGGCAGGTAATGACAATAGTATCAACACTCTACGGTATGTATGGAGGAGCAGCAGGAGAGTTTTCTACATAATTTAAATTGTATCACTTCACTTAGAGAACAATGACCAAGTAGAGTAAAATAACGTTTCGCAGTGGCATGATGGAGGTAGATACAGCGACTTCTCTCCTGGGAATGGAGCTGTTGGCAGCAGTGTCCTGATCCGAGCACTCTGCCGCCCTCATCGCCCACTCACTGGACTGACCTTGGCAATCATGACAGAGTAAATGCCCATCTGCTGGAAGCCACGGGTGTAGTACAGCATGTTAGCCCAGCCCAGCGCCAAGGAGAAGACCATGGAAGCCACGTACAGTTCCTGGCCGCAGAAGTACAGCACCACAGAGCTCAGGAGGAGCAAGGAGTGAACAAAGCTGAAAGACAAGCATGGTCTAAATGCAGTGTGCTGAGTTGGCCACAGGCGGTAGGAACAGAGGAGCCCCCCGAGGTATACAGCAGAGTGAGAGATTGTCGAAACACAAAGGAGCCTTGTCACAACCCTTCCTTTTTTCCCTTCTCAAATCCTACAATTCCTCTTGCAAACTCCTCGGATTCCCCATATACAAGCTTCTGTAGTCTCATCCCTACTCTTCCTTATGACTGGAGGGAAGAAAAGTTCCTGAAGACACTCATTTCTTTAACGCTCTCTCTCTTTCCACAGACCCATGAAACTGCCCTCCAGCTGCAAAGAGAAAGGGCCCAAATTATGGAGAGGCAAAGCTCCCTTGAGGTTTGGGAGACTTTCTGCACATTCAATCCATACACTGGCTTGCAAGCCCAACTTGGAGATCTATTCCTAACTCTGCTGCATGACAGTCCCTGGACTTCCAGATCCTTCATCTGCTTTACCTCCAAAGGAGGTTACTGATCCCGAACCACTTGTGCTATGCTATCCACTGGCAAGGATTTTATAAGGACCCAGGAAATTATAGCAAAGCCTTCACCTATTACAAGCGGCTTCAGCCAAAGCTACAGATCTCACACACTCCTCTGTTTCATGCTGGAATGCAATCACAAGTATCGGAGCTTACAAAAGAACCTCACTGTAGCTGTCAACTATCAGCGTCTTGAATGACGGGCGCCTCTGCACGAAATACTGTATCTGAAAAAAACATGGGAATGAAGACCAGGTTTGCATCCAAGGAGGGATTAAGTATTCCATATCAATGCATCAACTCAGCACAGACACCTATGCCAGGGAGCTGGTACCTATAAGACATGTCTTAAGATTAGCTCAAAACCAACACTGGTGCAAGATCTAGGGAGGACTCCTCAGTAACACTAGATTTCTCTTACATTTGGGGTCTCTTTTGGAGACAACAACCTATTCAGTCACTGTTTTGAGTACCTGTGGTTCACTGTAGACTCTGTTGGCTGCCAAGAGGAAGCTGTGAGACTTTAAGTTAAAACAGATAATCCTTAACAGAGGCCTGGTTATTCTTAATATCCCGTTCTAAAGCTTTGGCCAAGCTAATTGCTGCGATACTCGTTGACTTCTAAGGATTGTCTTTTTTTATACAATAGATAAAACTGTACCTTAGCCTGTGGGCTTGTCAGTAACCTGAGAATTCCTAATCAGGCCAAGGAAAAAGATTTTGGAGCTCTTGACTAAAACATGGATTATTTTAGCAGACAATTCTCATGAATAGGGGGCATGTTTGATTCTCTCCTACACCCACCCCAAGAACAAAAAGGAAAAGTTTCAAATATCTTACCCCTCTGAAAAAAAAATAGAGGCCTCCCAGTACACTCACGATCTCTCCAGTCACTCGAAAATACTCCCCAGTGCTGTGACCAAACGCGAAGGGAGGCTGCGTAAGACAGAAACACAGATATGTTCAGCAGACCTGGGGATTGGAAAGACCTGTCCCTGCCAGCAGCTGAAAGCAACTACATTTCTGGGGGAACAGGTTAAGATTCTCAGTGTGTTGCAGCAAGGGGGCAAGACTGGGAAATAAGCAGGGTCAAAATCTCCCTCCTACCTTCAGGAAAGGAGAAAATTCTGATGTTAGGAACACATATTCAAATGGGAGGCAGATCTGGGATATCATGCAGTGGGTGATTCCCCTGATATGTGACAGGAGGAACATACCTTTTTCTTCTCTACAGGTCTGTAGTAAGCAGCTGCAGTGAGGATGATGATATGCATGGTATAGACAAAGAAGTTGAAGTAAAATAAGTGTTTGACAAACCGGTCCCACTTGTCTTGCAGCAGCCTGTTAAGGGGTTCCACCAGCAGCATCTCATGACGGTTCTGAGCAGAAGGAGAAAGAGGAGAATCTTGATGGGATCAGTGTGTATCGGGTTTTGAAAACAGCAAATAATATTCATCTTCAGCAAATGTTCCTTTAGTACCCTGAAATTCAGGAGGGGAGATTGCCATTTTGTAGAAATGAGGAAAAAGATGCACTGTGTGGAACACAGAGCCTTCCCCAGAGTCCCCCAGCCTGTGAATAAAATGTCAAGGGGGGTGCATACTCACTGGCGTTTCGCTACTGTAGGCAATAATCTCGAGCACTGAATTTTTCTCACATGTGTCTATACAGGACAGGTCATAAAGAGATGAGTGGACAGGTCCATAAGCCCATTCAGTGAACTTCCTAGACAAGTGTCTGCACTCAGGATCTTTGATCTCTCGTCTGAGGATGTAAGCGAAAATCTAATTGCAAAAGAACAATACAACCAAAATTTCAGTGGTAATGGACTTCTAGTTTCTCAGTATCTCCACAAGAAAGGATGGCTAATTTCTCCCTAGTTTAACCGTGCTGTAGCCAAAACATCGGAGCACAGAGGTCAGAGTTTGAAGTAAACACAATTAATTTTCTCACTGCATGCTGGAGAAATACAAATACCGCTTACAACCTGACATCACCTGTTTCAAAACTGCAAGAGAAAAGCAGAGATGGATGTCACACATCTCTGGGCATACAGTCATTTTGAGTGGGGACTGTCAGAAGTCAGGTGTGTCAGCCAGTCAGGAGTTCAAGGCCTCCAGCAATCCAGATGATAGCAGAGACCCCCTCAGGCTGCCTTGCAAACCAGTGGTACATGAAAAATGCCAGCTGGGCACAGACGCACACACACTTCGTAGCCTTTAAGGACTGGGCAGTTTTGCATGTTAAACTCCAGCATCAGTTCTTCTTAACTAAAAGGCCCCAGTAGTAAGCAAGCGATAAAATCTGTCCTGCAGAAATGGTTTTTTTTGCATGTACCCTGTATAACTTGATACAGTAATGGGACAGTTAAACACCTTCGCTCACCTACCCCTATCTTCCCTGTTTTGGCTGCCAGAGTTAATGGAGTCAGCCCTTTCTTGTTGGTGAGTTCTTCTAGCTTCAGGATTGGATTAACTTTGGCGCCAAGGATCAATATGTTATTGTACATCTTGGTAACAAACTTGGTATTGTCCTTAGTATTATCTGCAATCTCCACCAGCGTATGCAGGACCATATTGCCCATGGAGTCCTCTGCGGCGATGTTGGCTGCCTGGTAGGGGTTCTCGAGGAGGAATTTCACAATGCAGAGCTGGTTGGTGCAGGCAGCCAGGGACAAAGGCAGCTCCCCTACGGGCAGACAATGGCAATGGTGGTCAGTACATGCCATAACACAAAGATGATCATGCTCTTTTAATCTTTCACCATAAGAAGAGGTAAATTCCTGATATAGCACCAATTCTTAATTGGTGCTATATCAGCAATTCTCAATATCAAAATGTGATCGCTGTTAGAATCACGTTTTCTTTGGTTTAACTGCAACACAGAAATGTGGCTGCTTTAAAAAGCACTGAAGGGAGACCTAGGAAAAGGTTACAACCTTTCAAAGGATACAGTGCCCAGAAAACAAAGGGATCCAGACATCAACCTCACACTGAACATGATAAACTACCAACTGTGCCTCTTTATAATCTCAGCCTTGGGGAGTAAATATTTGGGCCAAGTGGTGGAACAGCCCATCTGGTACTTCTGAGCCTCCTGTCCCACATAAACAGGATTATTTAACAGCTTGCACTTGGGATAATGCTGGGATAACATCAATCAATAAAGCTCATACTGTGCTCACTCCTACCAAAATAAAAGCCAGGTTTTCCTTTGATTTTCCTGAAGAACTCCCCACAGGCTCTTGCATGTACATCTGCTCCGTTCTGGACCAAAAGCTTCACCAGGTACATGTTCCTCCTCTCAATGGCGATGTGAAGGGCAGTTTGGCCTACAGAAACACCCATCAGACAGAAATCTTCAACATTTAATAGAGACTCAGAGCTTTCTGGCACCACAGTTTATTCAGTTCCACGTAAGATGGTGGAACAGAGCTTTGCAGACTAAAAAGCTCTAGAACTGAACACAAAAGTGGCGCAGACAGCAAGTGTAAGACCCTTACTTAACTTGCTATTAAAACACTGTACATCAAAAATGGCAGAATATCGCACCTGACAAAACACTGCCCTAGCACAGTGCACTGATTGTTAACCACACACTGGAACTTTGGGGTGTTGGATCCTCAGGCGTAAGGCCTCATGCAGAAGACTTTTCGAGAGACCCCATAACCCTACCTTCAGTCTAATCACCAAGAGTATTCACTGCACCACTCGTTTCTCTTACCCTTGTAGTAGTTGTCAGTGTACTCTGCATTAACAAACTCTTTCAGAGTTCCAGTTTTCCTTGCAATATCCAGCAGCAAGGGAATGGTATCGTTTTTCCCATCATGTAGATTCAGCATGGCTTTCAGTAAGCAGGTTTTCCCAGTTTCTGGCTCTATAATACAAAACATTGCAGCTATATAGAAGTGCCTACAAACCTATTCCCAGGCATGCAGGAATGAACGAGGTTCTTTTGAAAAGACAAGAAAACTTCAAGGGTTTCACAGAAAATTTCAACTTTTCTGAATTCTCTTGTAACTTTACAATCAATAGGTTGCCCACTCAGTAGGAAAACACCAGCTGTTGGAAGTCCTCCTGCAGACACTTAACACAACTATGGGTTTTTTTGTTTTCATGTCACTACTGGAAGAAGAGGACAACTTCAGGTATGTGACATTAAACGGTACCTTTGAACTCATCATCTGTGAGATGCTTCAAGGTTCTATTAAGGTAGAGTAGTAGATCATCCAGGTCCCTTGTGTTGCCTTGGGCGACAGCATCAAAGATCCTTCTGCGGTCATAAAACTTGAAAGCTTTTTCTGAGCAGCCTGTGATCGAATCTGTAGATAGGAGCCTAACAAGGGTAAATGTCAGTTACTTACAGTCAGATATTTAGCAGACTCTTTATAAACTACCAGAACACTAGTTTTCATTTGCTTATGTGAAGTAGTAAGCACTACAGATTAGTATAGATGGATCTGCAAAGTCTACCAAGATCAACAAAGTCTGCAAGCACCTGTCCTGATAAAACGATGTATCTGTGGGTGAAAAGCTGAGAACAAGACTTAAAAGAGGCTTTGAAGTATGGCAGGCCTGAGTGATGTCCCTTCACTGAAGGGTCTCAAGCAAGTGAGTTTAGGCCCATCACTAATCTGGGGCAAAACATCCACGGTCTGAATTTTCAGAGATGCCAAGAGACAGCAGCTATTGTCACTTTCAGATGCAACACTCCTTATTTTGGCATAGAAAATGGTGAAACTGAAAAAACGGGCACAGTCATGTGGAGAGAATAAATGCGGCTCTCAGAAACACAGCCTGCAGCTGTCGAACTGTTCATTACAACCAAATCTTACAAGGCAAACTTACTTCTGAAGCTTCCCCCTCTCCAAATTGGCGTGAAATTTCAGGACAGAAGGTGTCATCAGGTGATCCATCTGGTAAAAGGAGTCCATGGGAGCCATGTCCTTGTCACTATCCCCCATCACAAATCGCCCACGTCTTGCAAAGATGTTGCTTTTGGGTGGCTGCACCTTGGTGCTGAGCGTACCCTGGAGGCTGTCAGGCGTTTCCAGCATGGAGTCCTCCCCATCTGCGTGTTCATCTGTCACTTCCGATTCCTCCATGTCAGAACTGCCGAATTTCTTCATCATCCCCAGAATGGAAGACATGATGAGCAGGCAGTCTGTGAGGAACGACACAAACACCTCAAGTCAGAGCTCTACAGAGCCATGAGTCCCCTTTTGCCTAGGACTGTTTTCCAGATAGAGCAGAAATGGATTGGGTGCTCTCATCCCAGAAGTGAGACAGGTGGACACGTATTCACTATGCCCAGAGTTGGAACAGTTTAGTAGGTGATCACCTCCATGTTGTTCCTTACTGTCCCCACTGCCCTTACCCATTTCAGACTGGAGAAAGGAAACCAGAGTGTCCCAGAGCTTGCCAGCCACCTCACTGCAGAGCTAAGCATTTCTGCTTAAAACCAGTGCCTCATCCTCCTCCAATCGTTGTTAAAGCCTGAGCAATCTCAAACCCTGAACAATCTCTGCTTTTCTTCTCTACTTCTAACTGGTTTGTGCCACAGTATATTCTCAGGATTCTATCAGGCCTGTGAACACAGGCCATAACCCTATCTCAGCGATGCTGAGCACAGAGGGCTTCCTGCATATAGCAGAATTATCACTTAATGGCTTTACCAGAGTCACAGCAGTGCTAGATGAAAACTGGGGGGTGTGATTCTTGGGAGATTAGTGTCGCCTCAAACATGAGACACGGAAACAGAAAAGGGAAGGGTTACCACAGATAAGAGCTAACAGTTAAGACCACACGTCTGATCTTGTCTGACTTCAAACCACAAAGAATTTGACACAAGTTAACAAATATACTATATTGAAAGTAAAGCAGGTTTGTTTTTTTTTTAACTTTCTTTCCTATCCAACTTTAAGTCACACAAATATTGGTCTTCGTGATGCTGAATGCAAAATATCCTGGAACTCCAGCAGCGGAGGCAGGAATTCATCATATTTGACCTGCTGCATAGCTGCCTTTTAGAGAGCTGAACAGCCTTAGAAACATGCTTCAGAATCCTAGATTGCTTGGAAATCACACAGCTGTGAGCACAGGAGTGTTACAAAAATCCTTAAAAAGCCTTCGAATATAAACCAAATTATGGTGGTCAGTAACGTCACAAACACGCTTCAAGGTTGTTTCTCTTCACAACAATACGCTGAGAGGCTGCCTGCAAACCTACACTGCACAAGAAAGCCAGATCTTCAGTTCTCTGGAACTAGTTAAAACTTACGTAAAGGGTCACTTACATTTTCCCGTCCAAGTGGGATAGGAAAGAAACTTTCGTCAGGCATTTGCGTTTTGTACAACATACATGTACAGAAAACATCAATTTGCAAACTTGCTCATTTAGGATTTCTGGAAGCAAACCAGTGTGGTAAAGGTGAAGTACTAACGACTGAGGTTGGACTCACTATGTCCTCTGAGCTCACCTTTCACGTCCTTGGTGTCCTTAGAATCGCTCTGAAAGAATAACATAATATCTTATTAACTTCATTGCTCTATAAAGAAGAAATTATATACAGAAAAATATTTCCATTTGGAATATGATACTAAAAATGCAGAAGAACAATTACTTCAGTGAATAAGTTATAAAAATAGTTTTAGGAAAAAATTGGAAAAAATACACTGGGAATACAGCCATATAAAATTTTAATTTTTGTCTTATTTAAATTAATGTGGATTGAACCAAAACCCATCAGAGATGGCTATGGAAACTAAAATCCCTTCTTTTCCACTAAACAGGTGCAATATTAAAATCACAGAATAGACTCAATCACGTCTCCCTGGCAATTTGCTCAAACCTTGCTTAGTCATTACATCTGCTTTTGTTTCTAAACCCTGTTGGTAACATCTTTGATAATGAAGACAAAGCTGCATTCCCTCATGAGTATGAATTTGCAAGGGAAATAACCTTCAAAATTCTGTGGAGGGATTCTTTAAAAAATAAATTATCCTAAAAAAATGCATGACCTTCTCGAACTCTTTGAATCTTACCAACACTGAAGTTTGATACAATAAATGAGAGAAGGAAATATTTTTGATAGAATGGCTAACCACGTCACAACTTAACGTAAATACTAAAGAAAGTTTACAAATAACAACCATGCTATTCAAATATACATGCAGAACTTACAAATATTGCAAAAAAATCCTGTCTTCCACAAAACAGTCCAGCCTCAGTAAACACCCTCTGATCTATAGGAATTTGGTGGTGAATATTCCTCCTTCCAAGTCCTGGACTGAAAAGACCTCAGAGTTTGCTTCTCCACCTCATTTGTCTGCAAAAGTGTTCTGTGTGTCCGATGATTTTTAGAATCAAGGGAAGTTCACTAGAAGAACAGGGAGCAGAGTAATAAGATCATTAAGAACAATTCCGCAATCAGAAGCATCAGTAGCTTCTATTCCCAGGAGTTTAGCAAAGCTCTTTACAAGAATTGCAGTAAGTTGCTGTTGGTTTTCCCTCCCCTTTAATTGCATGTAGTAATGGATATTCTTCTCCAGATTTCCTCTTTGTAAATACACTCAAGCTTGCAAAAAGAAAAGAATCCAAACCACCAGAAAATTGTTTCTGTGGGTCACAGTTTCATTTCAATTTACAAAACTTTGTAAAATATGCTGCAGCTCTTCTCTTTCTGGAGATCCTTCTTGGGTGACTGCTGCAAAGCCCCACCAAGTATTTTAAAGATAAGCTGATTCTGAGCAGAATTGAGGGAGAACCAACGACAGAAAGTCCTAAGGCTGTTCTATCATTACATGTTCCTACTATGTTTTATTTAAACAATATATATGTAACAGTCGGCTTCTAAATATTCATGTAATTAGGAAAATAAATATTCTTATCTAATTCAGGATGAATCTAACCCTTAAAAATGAGTAACTGTGCGATATATTGCTAAATACATATTTTATTTAAGATTTTTTTTCTGCTAAGAACTAGTCTAGAGACACATCTTTTCCAGCAGGCTGAGCTGTCAGGCTAGAAGCAGCCTCCAGACCTCTAGCTCCAGAGGTTTCGTGTTAGACTATGAAATTATTCAAGGAAATTACCTGGCTTACGTTTTGCAAAAAGTAACCATCTTTCTAGTCCTGCCATCTATCTACCCATAAATAAAATAATGTATTTGCCTTTTTAATACCAAACTGATTATACTGCTTGAAACACCCTATGGCATTGTACTCAGAAGGAATTAAATGCCTATTTATTAATGCATAAGTATAGATTACCAATAAGCTAGGCCCTTAGCTGGTGCTCCTGCAGCTTTGCTGAGCAACATTACGACTAACTCCTTCAGCATTTCCGAAGCAAGAGCCTTAGTAAGAAAACTGTATGGACCAGCGGAGGGTCTCCCTTACTCAGACTCTAGCTCCTTGCTGGTCCCTTTGGCTAAATTCTCTTTCTCTCTCTTTTCCCATTCCAGGCATCATCTGTTTTCAGTCTTACTGTGCTCTGATGCACACACTTCAGGAGCTTCCTAGTATTTCCTGAGTTTCGATGCCTCCTCCATGAGCCTCCTTGACCCGTACTTCTTGTAAAGAAGTTATTTCCTTCTTACCAGCAGCACTTCATTGCTTTTTGCAACAGTGGTTGAAGGTATCGTATTCCATCTCAGCAGGGACCTGGTTTAAAGGTGTAAGCTCATAAGGAGATGTGAATGCTCTCAAAACAGGCCAGTAATAACCAAGAAGGAATGTATTTCCTTCTTCTTGGGCCTGCCACAGGTTTTGTGCAACTTCTGTGCTCGAGAGTGATTTTACCAATTAAGACTCCCCTCCACCACTGCAAATGGAAAAACATCAGCAGATGTGCTAGAGATTTTAAAGACGTACCCAAAGCTGGCCTGCAGGTCAGAGGTAGTCTTGCCTTCGCTAATAGAACCTAAAACCAGACCACAGTGTTACCAGATTCTGGAAACAAATACTACTTGGTTTCATGGTTAACAGCATGCCGGCATAGTATTATCAGCTCTTTCCAGTTATTCCATAAAAATGAAAGCAAAGGAAAGCCATATTAAAGCTCAATTTGACGCAATACATCAAGGCCGAATGAGAAACACCTTTGGCTCAAACACACTAAAATAGCACTGTATTACAAGAACAAATAACTTATATGGGCCATCACTCAAAATGCTAATTGTGTTTGGGCTTAAAAGGGAAATCAAAGCTGAAAGAGATCAGACTTCGGCTTTTGTAACTCCAATTTTGCCAGGTCCTCCAGTCTATTGCAAATTCTGACAATTTCAGAGAGACCCTGATCTGCCCTACCACCCAAAACCTAAATATAAAATAATTATGCATGCCAAATAAGGAAAATAGTTACCTCTCACCCTATAAATGTACTTTCCAATTGAATATAAGCCCTGCATTCCAGGCATCTTCAGTCATGGTACCAGCCTAGCCAGGCCTTTGACTTTAATCCACTGCACCCGGCCCGAGCAGCCACAGAAATAACCCTCCGTGTTTTATTTGATTGGTTTGTCGACGGTCAAACCAAGGTTGTATTCCATCTTTCACAGAGACAACACGCAACACGTGAAAACTGTCATTCATCCTGTGCAACAGCCACCCAACTCCCCAAACAAGGCTGATATCCCGGCTGCTGCCTATATGTATGTATATTGCGAGAGAGCTTAAGGACAAGGCGGGTAATGAAAGCATCAGACTAAGCTACAGACAGCTACTCATCTCTCCTAAACATATTTCCTACCAGGAAGATGAGCCTCGCATGAAGTACCATTTTATGTGGAAAGTTAATGGAACTTCCCTAGTCACTCACTCAAATTTAATGTGATAATTACTTCTCATTTCACAAATGGGAACGACAGAGCAGCGAAGTGCGTACACCCAGGAGCAGAAGAGGACATTAAATGCAAGCTTTTTTCCTCCACTGTAATGAGTGAGGTGGCATGTTGAATAAAACTCCAGTAAAAGTGAAGGAAGAGAAAGGAAAGGGAAAAAAAAAAAAAAGCTGCTGCATCTCAGGCCATTCCAAATAAGGACTTTATTTTCTGTGGAACATCACCATGGCAGCCCCCACAGCAGCATCGACATCCTTCCCGTAAACCACAGGGAATGGAAAAATCCTTTCCACTTCCTGCCTCAGCACTTCG